AAAAAAAAAAAAAAAAATCAATCACCATGCAGAAGAAAGCTCCATCAACTCAGGACTCCGCTATAACAACACTGTCAAAACTCAACCTCAGATTCTATATCCAGTGAATCAACTCATCTCTGTGAAGTTGGATGAGTCAAACTATCTCATTTGGAAGCAACAAGCTCTCACAACCATTAAAGGATATGGCTTGGAATCCTTCATAGACAATGAGAAACCCCCAGAGAAGTTCATCACAACTGAGGAAAGAAGTGTTGAGGTAAATCCTGATTTCTCTACTTGGCAGAGGCAAGATCAGATTCTTGCTTCTCTGATGTTATCTTCTCTTAGTGAGAGTATTCTTATCTTGACTGTTGGTTTGGGGTTATCTAAAGAAATGTGGTCAGCTCTTGAAAACAATTTTGCAACTCAATCTCAAGCCAAGATAATGCAGTACAAAATCTTGTTGCAAACTCTGAAAAAGACTGGTATTGCTATGAAGGATTATCTCAACAAGATGAAAAGCTATTGTGATGTTTTAACTTCTGTTGGGCATGTTATTCCAGAAAATGATCAAGTCCTTCATGTTTTAAGTGGCTTACCAAGTGAGTATGATGTTGTTGTAGTTAGTGTTACCTCCAGAGTAGAACCTTGCACAATGGCTGAGCTACATGCCTTCCTTGTAAGTTATGAAGCTAGAATGGAGTCTAACAGCACTACAGGAGCTACTTTGAACTCAGAAGGATCACAACCTTCCATTAATTCTGCTACTCAAAGTTATCAAAACAGAAATTTCAACACTGGCTTTCAAAACAATTTCCAAGGAAATAGAGTAGGTTTTAGGAGTTTCCAAAACTCTAGAGGAGGAAGATTTGATAGATATAGCAGAGGAAGAGGAGGTAAATACAACAAATCTAAGCCTATATGCCAAATTTGTCAAATCCCTGGGCATATTGCAGATAGATGTTGGCATAGAAACCAAAACACAAATCAAAGCAATGCAGGCTTTGGACAGCAAACCCATCTCAGAAATCCTGCAATCAATTTAGCTCAAGTTGGCCCTCAGTATGCTTCCCCTTATTCTACAAAATCAGACAATGGGTCAGAGGCTAGATGGTTCCTAGATTCAGGAGCTATAGCCCATGTTACAAATGACTTCAGTAAGCTAAACATGGCTTCTGATTATGTTGGCAATAGCAGAATTCAAATGTGAAATGGAGCTGTGGTTCCCATCACTCACATTGGTAATGCTACTTTGAAATCTTCTTGTGACTCTAAGGCTTTTCTTTTGAAAATTTTATTGCATGTGCCAACCATAACTAGAAATCTTCTGAGTGTATCACAATTTGCATCTGATAATGGGGTGTTCTTTGAGTTTCATCCAACCTTTTGTCTTGTAAAGAATCAAATTACCAAGACAAAACTCCTTAAAGGAACCCTTGAGGAAGGACTGTACCGGTTCAATTTACAACTTCACAAAAACCAGTCATTCACTTCAGTGCAGCCAAGAGAAGAGACACATCATGTTAACTTTACTGCTTTCAATAATGTTTTAAGTTCTAGCCTCTGGCATCATAGGCTAGGCCATACTGGGAAAGATATTATTCAGAAGACTTTGAATGATTGTAATATCTCTTATAAAAGAGATGAAGACCTTTCTATTTGTCCTTCTTGCATTATGGCCAAGAGCCACAAATTACCTTTTCCAGATTATGTGTTTATGGCTTCCCAACCTTTTGAATTGGTGCACAGTGATTTGTGGGGACCTGCTGCCTTAAAATCTACAAATGGTTTCATTTATTATGTCAGTTTTGTAGATCATTTTAGCATATATGCTTGGATATATTTCCTGAAAGATAAAACACAGGTTAAAGAAGCCTTCATGCACTTTAAAGCTGCAGCTCAAAATCAGTTAAATTTCAAAATCAAGGCTCTTCAAACTGATGGTGGCACTGAATATAAGGCTATACAAAATCATCTTCAAGAGCAAGGAATACACCACAGGATCTCTTTCCCCTACACTCCACAACAAAGTGGATTGGCGGAGAGGAAACACAGAAATATTGTGGAAATAGGGCTTTCACTTTTGGCTCAATCTAATCTGCCTTTAAGCAACTGGGATGATGCTTTTTCCACAGCTGTTCATATCATCAACAGGCTCAGTAGCAAAGTCATTGGCTCAAGACTCCTTTTGAAAAACTATATAAGAAAAAGGCAGATTACAACAGCTTAAGAGCTTTTGGATGCAGATGCTACCCTCACATAAGGCCCTTGAATAAACACAAACTTGAGTTTAGAGCATTACCAAGTGTTTTCATTAGTTACAACTCTAACTATAAAGGGTACAAAGTTTTGTTGCCATCAAAGAAAGTGATTATAACTAGGAATGTTGTATTTGATGAGCATATCTTCCCATTTCAAACTCAGTTCCACAAAGATCATTCTGAAAAGGTGCTTCCTCCAATTTTCACTCAAGCTCCAGTTTTTGAGAACTATGAGAAAAGAGTCAACACTGAAAAACAGCATGAGGAATGTGGAATCAGACAAAGAGACAACAGTGTAAGAGTCTCACCCAACTCCAATGCCATGACACCTCACAGTCAACACAACTATCAACCTCACACTCCTCAAAGTGTATCTAGCACAGACTCCTATTCCACATTTCCTTTGGCAGTTGATTTACATCTTGATGAGCCAAGCTTTCAGAATGTTTCAGTCCATGAAGATCAAAACAAGCATCATATGATCACAAGATCAAAGACAGGTGTTTGTCCCATTTTTGTTGCGTTTTTCGTGTTTATTTTATCTTTCTTTTACCCCCGTTTTAGGTCGTTTTTTTAGTTTTTCGTCCCTTTTGTGTTTTATTATGTGTTTTCCTTCATTTTGAGTCATTAGGTGTTTTTTGTTTGTTTTTCCGGTTTTCTTTTGTGTTTTGTCGTTTTTGGTGTGTAGGTCAAAAGATTCGGGCGAATTTTATATTGAGTAAAAGTTGGTTTCGAGAGCATAACTGGATAGAGGGGTTCGTTAGCGACGCATAGGATAAAACGGAACTCAATTCCGAGTTCGGACGAGCTCAAACGAGGCGAAAACGCAAAATGACGCAGTGCAGCCCAGAATCTCGCGAGTCGCGAGCACAAAGTCGCGAGTCGTGAGTTTTAGTCGCGACTCGCCATAGAAAAGTCGCGACTCGCGACTTCAACAGAGCCTCCAGCGGCCCAGCTGTTGGTGTTATATACTTAAGCTTTGCTTTAGTGGATATTTCACTTGTTATTCCTTGATGAATGAGAATTATGTTTGATTAAATAAGTTCCACGTTCTGTTGTTTT